TGAGTTTGGGTAATCGCAGGGTTTTCTGCAATTTCTGGAAGACTTTCCATACTGGTTATGATACTAGCACCATTCGGGATTGTCCGTCTCCCGTAGTGTAGAGACAGATCGCCTACGTGAAGTGCTTCTTCGCGTGGTATGTGACCGTTTACGGTCATCACGAAATCGCAGATAACGTGTCAGCGAATGACATAGTTCGTAATGTCATTCTGGGTCGTTTGAGGTTTTTCTTTTACTGAAAAACCTCGGCCTTAAAATATTTTGTGATTTCGAGGATACGGTCGGCAGATGCAGCCAGCTTGTCTACGGCGTTGTTTTGAAACGAGACCAGCACAACTTGCACCTGTTGAGGAAGTTTAAATAAGAAAAGCTGCTTGAATAGGCTATCATCGAAGGTGCTATGGCTGATCATCTCTCTCATTTTTAACAACATGTCTGTGGCAGAACCGTGTTGTAGGTCGATATTATCAAGTAATCGGTCTTAAATTTGCCGATCGGTCAGATCTCTGCGTTTAATGATAGATCGTTTAAGTATTTCGCAGGGTTCCAAAACATTACCAATAAACATGCTAGGTGTTACGTACCTGTTGAACGCGCGGTAGTGCCTTGACTACTGCGAGGAATTGTGCACGCGTGTCGTTCACGCCGTGCTCGTAGAAGTCGGTTTCTGCGTAGCAAAACCAGGCTTTGATGTTTTCTGTCTAGAAGGGCATTAGTTGAATGGAAGTTGGGGACATAGTCCTTAACTTGAATACCTTGAGCGTCTGTTCCTTCATGGTGAAATATCGAGTACAAGAATGAACAAGTGTAATATATATATTTTATTCATTTATTTATGGCTTTATTCAATATTATATTTTGGTACAATATAGAATTCTCAGCACAAAATATTTCAACAAGTTTCTTTTACAGAAAAAACAGAAACAAATACAAAAACGGTTAATAAAAAATCCGATAAACTGTACAACGTTCCAAATGAGAATGTAGGTTATTGACTAGATTAACTGGAACAACTTGTTTGTCACAGAGTATATTTGTTAGGTAAGGTATTATAGAACTTTTATACTTTTGCTTGCATGCTTGGATTTTAATGTAATTTTGCCTCCTTCTACAAGAAACTTTACAAAGAGAAAGATATGAGTGAAAGGGATTGTTAGTATCTGATGAAATAACACCTGCCAGGAGTTTGCATGACGTTAGATGTCTATCCACAACCATATTACTTATGGTTTCGAAAGATTGACCACACAGCTTGTTAACTGCCTTCAGCACTCTCCGCAATACAGCAAAGTTTTTCTCGAAAGTCCGGGAAAGAATAATGGAGAACAGTAAGAATAATAGGTAATATGCAAGAATTGACAAATTGTAAGAGTAAATGACGAGTGATTTCAAGGGCATGCAATCTCTTTATGTAGCAAGTCAGACGGAAAATGTTCTTCGATAACAATGAAACATGAGAAGACCAAGAGAGTTCAGAGGAAAACGTAACCCCAAGGTAATTGACCGTCGACATTGTGTTTATCAATGAGTCGCCAATGACACAAGCATCATGGAATCCCAAAATGGTGTTTAAATGCTGATCATGTCTCATGCTTAAGGTAACAGCTTGACATTTAGACGGATTAAGTATGAGCCCATTAACAACAGACTAACAATCAATACGAGAAAAGAACTCGTTCATTTCTATAGAATGTAAAAAAGAAGTGATAGGCATACATACAGTGAGATCATCCGCATATTTGACAAAAGTACTTACTGTGGAAGATGGCAGATCATGCAGAAAAAAAGAGAAAATACGAGGTGAAAGAACAGCTCCTTGTGATACACCTTCATGGGACAGTAGAGACTCTGGACAATTTCCTCCAAGCACTGTGTATTGTTTCCTTTCAGAGAGGTAAGAACATAGCCAATTGGTTATCCAGCTGTCAGTGTAGACGCTGATTAACTTGTTAAGTAAACTTCGTCTTGATATAGAATCAAAAGCAGAAGTATAGTCCAGGAAAGAGCATCGAACATACTTCTTACCCTCTTCTAAGTTGAACACTATATTGTGATACAGAACAGCAACGGCATCTAAGGTGCTTCCTTTGCATCTGTAAGCAAATTGATACGGATCAATGTGCTTTTTTATCGCAGGAAGGGTGAAGTTATTGCAATAGGTCTAATTTTCACATTCTTATCACCAGATGCTTTCTTGGGTATAGGGATTATTTTCATCTTTCTCCACATTTTCGGTATGAGACTAGATGAGAAGGATCTGTTAAAGATAGTTGTGAATGGATAGCATAGGACATCAGCACACTTTTTAAAAAGGAGGTTTGGGATACCATCAGGCGCTAAACATCGAGATGAATTAAGTGACTGAAGACATTTTTGGACATCAATTTCAGTGAAACTAGAAACACAGCTATTCTTTAAACCTGTGGATATAGGGAGCATTACATCAGATGACTGGAGTACAAAAGACTTATTTAAGTCACAAACATCCAGCTGGTTGTCGGTCCTAATCTGTTTGTCACCTGTAAGTTCTTTAAAGAGTTTTCACATACTTGAAGAGTTTTTACAAGACAAGAGTTTTTGAGCAGAAATAGTGTTGACACGACTAATCTCGAGGTTCATCAGACCATTTAGCTTACGAACTTCACTAGAGGCTTTCTCCTTGATTATTCTTTCTTTCACCCTCCGTAGTCGTTCTAGTTGTGAAGACGTAAGTCGATTAAAACTTACAAAAACGGTTTCAGTGAAACAACAAATATCAAAACAGAATTTAAGGTAACAATTGATGACATCGGTAGTGTTTTTCAGTGAGTCATCTGTAAATAATTCCCAGTTGGTCGTATGAAACATGTTTTTTTCAAATTTTGGATATTTTCTTCTGAGTAATTCCTATATTTGAATTTCTTCATTTGATGTAAGAGTGTACTCTTTCCATGCTTACCATATACTTTAGGTAGAACACGAATTATACAGTGATCTGAGCTAGACAATGGAGCGCGTTTACGAGTCATATACATACTTAAATCATTAATGAAGACGAAGTCTAAATGGGCATCCAAATGAGTAGGAAAAACTATTACATTTTGGTGATCTAGCGACGTAAGGAAGCTACAGTCACATGAATTGAAATCACCACATTTAACTGATAGTGAATCACTGAAGGCGGTAAGAGCTCTTTCAGTGGATTCATCAGCTAGGACAGATAGCACAAATGATGTGCAGTATGGGGTCATATAGATATTGGTAATATAAACATATTTGTATTTATTCAGATGTTTTGGACGGCATTTTAGAGTTAGACAATCGAGAAAGTCAGTTGAAAACTTGAAACACGCAAACGTGGATCGACACCAGTTCACGTTTACAGAAGTAGCTACACCACCGCCACACCTCATTTTATTGTTTGATCGATCCTGACGATAAATTTTGAAATCACGTAGGGATACTAGGCAGTCGTCCTACGATACATATTTTGACTTATTAGGAGTCGAAGATAGCCCATCTTGTTAATTAGTGATGGGCAGTTAGAACTTAGCAATTCGAGAATCGACATACGATTAAGGTTCATTATCTTCAACGCATATCGCCAACCACCACGATGTCTTTTATTGTAGATTTTGTAACTTGTGCAGCGAAAGGTCGTAGGCTTTTCATAAATACGCCTGTATAGGTTATGTGATCAATGGACAGAATGAATAAACAGATAACTTGTTGAAATAACTAGATGGCAAAAACAGGTAGCTCAGATATTCAAGCAGGTCGCCTTTAATATATATATATATATATATATATATATATATATATATTCAAAAACACGACAAAAGAAGTATCACAATATATAGAAAATCAATATAAGACAATAATATGCAAAATTCCGAAGAGGAACACACTCACACCTTGGGATTTGGTGTACCAGATCACATCGGGCTCACCAATGAAGTTGCCACAGGTATTCGGAGTTTGACAACTCTTTAACCAGTAACACCTTCTTTTATGAATCGTACCCACCAAGTGAAATCAAAAGACAGGAAAGAGGAGGTTCGAAGATACATTTGATAGGCTCTCAATATATTGAGGATCGTTTGGCCCAATCTGGTGAGCGATTGCAGTAGATGTTGAGCACGGCGTTCCCACTCGTGATCTGGTGCGGATGCATGACCGAGCGCCTTCAGCTGGATGAGTCCGTTAAAGCTAGTGTGGTCAGCACCCACTGTCGAAGACTTACAGAGCTATTTATTTCGGGGATATATTTACCGCTACAATGTTCAGCCCGGAGAGTATAACTAGACCTAAACAATCCGCCTGGGCCAAGTATCTTCTTTGCTATCTTGAAAGTAGTTCTTAAACGTGTCCTTAGCAAATCTCGCAATGACAAGTTGTGCTGACCACCTGCTTCTTCATACGGAGAAGCGCTTAATGCAGGCGGTCTAATTCCAATTTCATGTACGCAGGTTTCTGATGAATTATGGGCGATTTGATTGTTTGATTAAGTACAGTAACAAAGTGATGTATAAACAGATGAGATATAGTTAAAAGTTATGGTAGGATTTTAGCAGTAAAGTATGGGCAGTTCAGCTGACGTTTGTTCTGAGAAGCATATCATAAGACTCTTAAGGCATGAAGCAATGGTTGAGGTGGAAGGACGGCCATAGATTATCTTTTGAAATTAGTTTGAAGAGAGTTGACTTCATGAAATGAAAGTATAGCCTTCCTGGTTTTTGAAGGCTGCAAGGCATTGTTCCTAATGAGAAAAAACAACAACAGAGACCAAGTAAATGACAATACTGGCCCTAAGAATAAAACCACTGACTGATACTTGGAGTTGGGTAAACCGTATAGCTAGTCCAGTCTTCGATACACGACCAAATCCCACTGGTTGAACGTTTCGCCTCAGCAGCCAATTTCATGATTGAGCCTTACGACATCTTTGTATGACATCAGATATCTGTTACTTAATTCGCAAACTATTTTCTCTTTCTGTTAATTGAACACTTAACCATTGTTGTCAGCTTAAGGCTAATTAGGAAGTAGTTGTTTTAGTTCACTTGCAATCAGCTGATGATGGCCTCATCGATTAACATCTTGAAAGCCGACTCTGTTCTTCGTCTCAGTAGGTTTGGGTTATAGAATTATTTAGCTTATTTTCAAAGGTACCTTTTTAAAACGTTGGAAACCGGCATGGCTAGTTCTTTATGGGAATGGTGAGCTGCGGTACTTTGAAAGTAAGGATGATTATGTAGCGAAAGCGACCATTAATGTTCCACGAATATGCAGAGAAATCCTATCTGGTCACGTAAGTTAATGAAATTTATGCTAGAGCCTAGGTATATCACTATGTTTTTAAGTTAGCTCCGATAATTGTGTCTATAGTGGTTCTTACAGATCATTATAAGAATTGGTAATTCAAAAAGTTTAAGCCCTCTAATACTTAATTTCAGTTACCAATATGGGTTGTTTATGAGAATTTACATGTTGATGTCTGTTGACTTCTACAAATCATATGAACTAAGGTTGGCGTACATCCGCGAAATCGAGTTAAACGAAAAGCAATTAATTTGATGTGCAGATAAGCCATGACAGATATTACATCCTATCTATTTGACTGACTAATATCCGGTATACCTTTGTGGAATTATGGGTGAATGTCTTCAGTATTCAGAACGAATAAAGTAGGTTGATTGATCTGTATTCTTGCAACTTGTTTCACAGTAGAGATGCAACTTCTTGAATGTATTCACTAGTGGGCCTGATAATAATCGTCCAAGTAGGGCGTCCCAGATATTGACTCTTTGATCCGAAAAACGAAATTCCATTGAGTTTATTTGATCGCGATTTTAAACCTTTCCGTGACCTCGAAGATGATTAGCTCTACAGGCATCAAAAAGTTATTATATGTTGATACTCAAATTTCTATTCAAGATACAGTACCGATGTAAGGTCACCTCGCGCTATACAATGAGGGGAAGGTTCCAGCGTCGTGATCACTCATCGTAGAAGAGTTTGTAAAAACTCGTCATTAACTTAGTTTCCACGCATTGAACACACAAGTGTGATGGTATCCTTAGTAAGACATGGACTAGACGAACAAGTTCAATGCTCCAAGTTAGGTCTTGCATTAGGTGGGGTCTGAAGTCCAAAATATATATTCAAAACATTTGGATGCTCGGCCCAGTGACCGTAACACTCGGATACCTTTGGGACTTGGTGCATTGGGATTCATGACTCAATTACTCGTAGACCTTGTTTAGAGCGGTGTGCCTTCGACAGCATACCGGTTACCATTGCCCTGTCCAATATTTGTTCTAGGATTGGTCTCTAAACCCCAATTTTTGGATCATCTAATTAGTTCGTCAAAGTCAACTTGGAGATCAAGATGATCATTCTCACTAAGTATTGTTCTTTAAACTTTGACATTATCCGCAAACAAGTGTCGATGACTTAGACAGTCTTGGTAATTTTTTGACGTAGGGGACAATATAAAAAACCTAATATTGTACCTTGATGTACACTTTTTGACCAGTTTCCATCCAGATACTTTCCCATTTACCCTCATTCTATACTTGGCCATAGAAAGTTCCTTGTCTACTATTGTATGGCATTTGTTATTCCAAAGCTGGAGATTGTAAGATATCTTTCCGAATATACTACTAGAATCCATGAATATTACGAAAACAGACAAACCGATATCTTTGCTTGTTGTTCAATTTTCTATCTCAACTAATAAATTAATCAAGCATAATTGTCTGTCGAAACCCGTGTTGCTCATGAGTTAACAGGTCGTATGATTCTACATAATTTAGTAGCGTAGACTAAATTATTTTCTCGATTCTGAGTACGTTGCTGAGATGATACTATTAAGCGGTAGTACGGGATGAAATAATAGTAAAACATTGCTCATTTGCCTTTTGACTGTGAAATTGCATTTTCTTGAGAAACGTTTACTCGCTCACTTTTCATAAACAACTTATATAGTAGCGTATCTTCATTTATCGAACACTGTTAAACTAAACTATGTTGCCGAATCAGTAAGGGTTGATATCTACACTTTGAGGTCATGCCAGATCTAACTTTTAAATTTCTTGATATCGACAAAACACTTGCTATAGATAGATGGATAGATCTGAGCTACTTTAAGGAGAATGCTGTAATTGGCTATCTCCAGAGCGAATATGCAATAGGAAGTTGAAATGGGATTGGATAAATGGTTTTTGATGTAATTGTAGTGTTTTTCAGAATTTGAGATAAAAAGCGACACTGTGGCATCTACAGTTTTTTCGATAATAAAAAAGATGCGTTTATACAGGGACCACAGTGTGTACTGAAGACGGGAGTCTACAGTGATTTTCCTGAAAGATTACTATGTCAGTGTAAAGTCATTATCTAGCAACGAACCCGTAGTTTTTATTAGTAGGGTTCACATTAATAACATAGAAGTGTGGAGGCGGTTGAACAGTTATTTGTACTCATATAAAGGTTTCCGAAGAAAAATGCTTTTTAGTCATGTTAATGAATTACTCTACCAAACATTCTTTAATTTTAAAACAGTAGCTCATTCTAAACACATAAAACTTCATTAGTGGTGCAAAAACTGTATACACTTTGTCTTTTTCTCCGTGTTATGACTCATTTTTTCATATCCCTTTGTTATGACTGATCCAATGGACATCACTTTTTAGAGATCGTTTATGTTAATTAATTTTAGCAACGTTAGTTTAGCCTTGAACATATACTAGATGGCATTGTCCAAATAAGAGTGATGTGCGGTTGCTAGAAATTGTTGCAAGATGTAGCAGTTAATTTCGCTAGATCCACGTTCTCGTCAAGTACGTTTATGTTCACATTTAGCCTTCTTTGCCCAAAGTTATCATCACCAGAATATTCTCTGGCACTGCTTTGCAATTGATATCATTTGAAGTGTTTGGAGATGTCATTAATCAATGATAAATAATGTATGCAATCCAAATCTGTCTGGTGGGAACGTTGAAAAAATGTAGTCTTGAGTTAAGCTAAAACGCTTACGTTATTCAATTACGGTCTGCACTCAGAAGTAGACAGTATGATTTTGTTGATGAGTGGTAAACAACACGAAACCTTGCTGACTGTCCTTGACAAAATGACTCAAATAATATTTTCGTCTAAGTAGTCGAAAATAGTAAATCTTTTACGCATTATATGGAAACAACTAACTATACGTTTTGGACATCCTGTCAAAAGATGGATAACTTACAACATTGTTTATTCATTTCAGTATTGGTATTACTACCTATTTCTCTTCTATCAGTTATAGTATCTATTTCGTTACTCAAAACTCAACTAACACAGCACTCTTTAAATTTTAATATTTGTAATCTGTTTTTGTAGCGAAATATCGATCCACCTAAAGATCGTTCTAGCGAGTGCATTTTCGGCCTCAGGACAGACGAATCTAATTGGTATTTCTGCGCCCAGTCACCTGATGACGCAGTAGTATGGCGTCTTGCTTTATCTGAAGTAAAAGGAATGTCCATCCCTCGTTATCGAGTTCGTATGCCACCTCCAGAGGCTCCACCACCAGGATATACAGATGGCACAAACTACTATCAATACGCATGTCCTGCTGAAACCACAGTTCCTTTATACCAAGCTTCTGGAGGAATGCGGGAAGTACCTGTAAGCAACAGATCCATAATGAATACTGTTAATCCTGTATTTTCTTTATATTGTGACCTAACATGGGAAGGGTTTGCATATGATTTGTGTCTGGTAGTGTCACTACGCCATAAACTTGATTTCTCATTGAAAATTCCTCTGCTATGGGCATAGAAAGCATCTTTAGTACAACTTTACGGAAATTTTACTTTTACGCAAATTGCTTTATGACCAAATAGTGGCAGTCATTTTTCTGAGTAAAGAAGCAATCAGTTCCATGGTCTACACAAATTAGTTCTCGACAAGACGTTTCAAAATAGTAGTGAGCTTGATAATAACTAGTACTAATTAACAGGTAGTTGATTAAATCACCATGTAGTTAATAAATCAATCAATGGTAGGCTTATGATCCTCATTAAGAGCAATTATAGGTAATAGGATAGAAATATTTGGTAATCCTGATAAATAAATTGAGTACCTTGAAATAACATTTCCTAAGATTTTCGTAAGCTCATCACAGTCAGGTAATATGTCAGATTAATCTGAATCTTCAGTTATTTTAACATATCATATGTAGTAATTCCTCTTTCAACAATTATCTAGGGATTTCATCTGCTACTCGTGATGGCGCATAAGCGAAACGAAAATAAAGAAACTAAATAGTGAACAGTAGTTGATGAAACTTCAATCTCCAGATTGTGAAATGTGGATGTACTTAAACTAATTTTACTTGGTTTGAAGGTATTGTATACCAGTATGTTAAGTATATTTTGTCATGATGAGCAACTAAAACGCTTACACTAAGGCCAATATGATATCCTTATTTTTGAAATAAACTTCCTGTTCTATCAAAGTAGTCAATATACTGAGACAACATGTGACGACAGGATATTTCAATAATGTTTTGAGTGATATCTGCCTCTACATTGTTTATTGTTCATTCCGTTCTTGTTGATAGTTCGTAATGATCAGTACATCTTCACCTCGTACTGCTGGTAATCACATTCACTTTGGGGCTGGCACATTACTTTAAAGTGTGATAGATGTTTGTTGGAGGCATATTATAGATAATGTTTTACGATTTATTTCCATCAAATGAAGTGCACTTTTGAATAAACCTGCAACATAATCTGTGGAATACAAGTATTCATGGTAGTGTTATGTAGCCTATCGTTTTAGCCTCCGAAAACAGGATTTCTGATGCGCTCATACTACAGTTATTATCTGTACTGCAAAATATTGCCCAATAAAGTGACTTTTCGGGAAACATTGGGACTGAAAACGTATTACTTATCAAAACATTGTTATTCATAAATTCACTTGACATTGTTAACTTGAATCTTCCCATTTTTATTTAGAACTGCAATTGATCAGTCTCTTATTGGCATAAATAAGACAAAACGCGCATCATAGATTCCACTATCCGTATTTACACTATAATGGTGTTTTTTTTGATTACTCACCAACACGATTACCTTTGGTTAGTTATTGATTTCTGTGCAGTTTATCGGACCATATTATTAAATTGATGATTTTTGTAGAGTATTAACACATAAATTTCTAACCATAGTTATTTTATGTTGATTACTTGGAATGACCTATCTTGTTTTATGTTTTACTCAGTCGAATATGAATATGAATGCATTGGAATTTCTATAATTTAATAATTTCCCATAGATTATATACCGTGGTTCAGATGGTGAATATATAATGCCACGACAGATTATTGAACATCCTGATGGATCGCGTACAATTATCCTTGGTGATGGAAATGAGATTCCATGTCATTGTCGACATGGTTATTATTGTGGATGTGGTTACGGTTTTGGTGATGCAGCTTTATTAGGTTTAGCAGCTGGTACACTTATGTGGTCTCCTTTCTTATGGTCCCCATTTTTCTGGTGTTAAGTATTATATTGTTATTACTTTCTTTTCTCACTTTCTTCCCTCAATTCATACAGGATGAGGTTGATTTACCAATACTGTCATAATTCTATCACAATTCTGTCACAATGTTTTCTTGCTTCTTGTCCATTTTGTTGAGATTGTTTTCAGTCATATGGTGGTTGACTAATAAATATTTTCATTTCGTGCTGTCATGTTATCATGTTCCATCTCTGTATCTCTCTCAAGTAATATTCAGGTGTTTTTTTAAATGATCATTTCTACTTGTTTTCTGATTCACTGTGATGATATCCACCTATTTCTTTATCTTATTAACATAAGAATATTTTTGGAATACTTTGTTTTATTCATATTGTGAAGTGTGCTTTTCTGATAAAACAATAATATTTATAAATGTCAGGAATGGTTTTGTGAATATTATAATAATTTTAATCGTTGAGATCATGATCCTCATGGAAAGCATGGGATCACTAGACGACTGTTTCGTCCTAGTATGGTACTCTTCAGCAGTGCGCATCCACGATTGACTCGGTGATCTAGAGGTTAAGCGTCTACGTGTGAGACTAGAGGTCTAGGGTTCAATCCGTGCGTGCAGGATCATGGGTTCTCACTGATGCGAAGTCCTGTATTAGGACAAGATGGGGTTCCAGCGCTTCACTAGTGGTCTAGCTTAGATCAGTTCTTGAGTTTAATAAAATTCAACAATGTAACCCAGTATTGAAAAGGAATCGACATATTAGTGAGATTGGAAACATTCGATGGCTGATTCGTCCTAGTATGGGACTCTTCAGCAGTGCACATTTTCGATTGGCTCAGTGGTCTAGAGGTTAAGCGCTGGTGCGCGAAATTAATAAGTCCTGTGTTCAAATCTCGTCAGGCGGATTGTGGATGCGCGCACTACTGAGGATTCCAATACTGGGACGAAACGGCCGTCCAGTGCTTCCAGGTTTTCTATGGTGGTCTACCTACAATTCAGATAAATCTAATTGTTTCACTGTGTTGAGTGATAAACAGTAATGATTTCAACACGCTGTCAATGAAGTAGGTCATTATGAAAAGTGACAACTCTCAGTTGGGTTTGTGCACAGGTTTCACTGTTTTCCAGGAGCAAAACTATTTGAGTCAGTCAGCATAAACCTAGGACCAAACACATATATTCATCGGTTAAAGTTGCCATACCTCATTAGCACAACAAGATGAACACCAACTTCATAGGAGTAGTTAATTCAGTGGTGATAATTTATAAAAGAAAGATTGCATATAAGGAGATAGTACAGGAATAAAGAATTAGTTCGTAGAAAGAAAGGTACGAAGCGATTTTAATCTCCTCGTTTAAGGGAAGACAGACCGTGTATAAACTCACAGTCTCGTACCATTGGTTACGATGGTCACGCGGACCCCAACCAAGTAGTCTGCATCTACCAACATGATTCAAACCAGAAGTTAGTGACTTCAAGGACTGATGCCACATTTTGGTTTGGCCACCCCGAACTTTCTTCCAACACTAGTCAGCATTGCGCGTCGTGGTAATCGGTGTCCAGGCATACGTAACACGTGGTCCAACCATCTCAGTTGATGAAGATTCACAACCTCATCAACCGATTTACCATCATTCCCTAATACACTCCGTCTAATTTCACTATTACTTACCCGGTGGTCGCAGCGGATGCGAGCAATATTTCTAAGACATCTGTGGTCAAATATTAGTAGCTTACGAGTATCTCCTACTCTTAATGGCCACGTTTCGCAGCCGTAAAGTATAACAGAACGAACTGCTGCGTAGTATACTCGTTCCTTAATTGATGGACAGATACCTCACAATCGCCATAGGTGACGTACGTCGGCTGAAACTAAACTGGCTTCCAGGATCCGTGAAGAGATTTCGTCAGACACCAACCCACTAGGGCTGATCAGACTTCCAAGGTAAGTGGAGTTGTTGACGCTCCCTATCCTTTGTTCAGGTGTTGATGCAAGGCAGTCCTGAAGCAACAACACCTTTCAATGAAAGACTCTTCCACAGAACCTCTCGGTCCACAGAATTAAATGCTGCTTATCAGTCAGCAGAAACTATCATTGTCGGACGCCGATAAGCATGTGTGTTCTAGAACCTGACGATTGGTGAATATTTATTCGATGTAGCTACGGCCAGGTCTGAAGATACAGCCGTTCCTATATCTTTCTAAGCAAAATATAGGTCAGCCCAGTTTTCAGAAAATATTAAGCGTGACCTCAGTTGTTCCTGGGATCTACTTTTGACTTCCTTGTCATTGAGTTTCAATCTGTTAAGCGACGCGCAAGCAAATGCATGCTAGTATTAGAGCATGATCGGAGTCCAAACAGATATTCCAGAACGAGCGAGTCTTCCATCGAGCGTCTCCAATGATGACTGATGGCAACATGATCTATTTGAATCCATCGTTGGTTTAGTGCAGTGGGTCACCATGTTAGACGATGTCTCTCCTTATGCTTAAAATTAGTGCTCGCTAAAAATAAACGATCGTCTGGACACAATTGCAGCAGGCGATCACCATCATCTGTTTGCTGAGCCAGGATACTAAAATACCCAGCTAAATATCTTTCTGTTTGGCTTAAGCTGCCTAGCTGGGCATTAAAGTAACCTGCTACGAGTACTATATCTGGTGTTTAGCTTTAAGAAGTTCAGAAAGCTTTCTGTAAAAGTCATCTCTTAATCATCCTGGCTGCAGTTAGTGGGAGCGTAGGCAGAAACGACAAAAAGGCAAGGGATCCATTCTAATAGCGCTTGTTCTGCCCTCGTACTCAGTGCTATGCTTACACCTGCCAGTCCATGAGAACTAGCCATCGGGTTGCCAGAAACACGGGGGATATTTATCATCGGCAACGAGAAGCCAAGTGAATGACCACATTAGGATCCTTTATGCGTGATTCAGAGACACAGCATACATCAATAGTATGGGATTCCAGGGTTTGGACAGCTGAAATGTATACAACAATATATAGTTTCACCAGCTTATCAAAAATAACCAATTTTGAATCACTGATTAAACGATAATAAGTGACTTATATCTCATTATAAGCTTACTACCATTGATCAGGTGGTTTAAAGATATTAAATAGAGAATTTTCATTGTTTAGATCTGTTATAAATTAAATGAATGCATAAAAATCAAGATCTACTGATTTAACAAGAACTGAAGCTTTAATGTTCAATGTTACAGGCAACTGAAATAGCCTCGTTTGATCACATTACTTGCAGTAATGCTACTTCATTAAACTCGGCTAATAAAATGTCCTGATTAACTACATCTCTCGAAATCAATAGCTGCATGCTAACACTGAATATACAACACGGTATGCATGACATTTGATGAGGAAGCTTTGGAAGATGTAAAAGCATTCACATATCTGAGCAGCATCAATGACGAACACGGTGAATCTGATGCAGATATGAAGGCGCGAATCAGCAAAGTCAGAGAGGCATATCTACAACTTAAGGACATCAGGAACTCAAAACAACTGTCAACCAACACTAAAGTCTGAATTTTAATACAAATGTCAAGACAGTTCAGGTGTCTGTGGAGGAAACTTGGAGAAATACGACAGCCATCGTCCAGAAGATACAAATGATTATTAACAGTCGCTTACACAAAATACATTGCACTCATTGCCCAAACACTATCAGCAACAACCCACTGTGGGGGAGAACAAACTAGATTCGAACGAAGGAATAAATAAGTAAGATGTGGATGCGGTTAGGACACACAGTGAAGAAAGCACCCAACTGCTTCACAAAGCCAAACCTCACTTGGAATCCTCGAGGCGAAAGAACGAGAGGAAGACCAAAGAACACACTACGCCGAGAAACCGAGACAGACATGAGAAGAATGAACAGCAATTGGATAGAAGTGGAAAGAAAGGCCGAGAACAGAGTGGGTTGAGGAATACTAGTTGGCGGTCTATGATCCATTGTGAGTAACAGGCGAGAGTATCTAAGTAAGTAAAGTGATAGATAATTCGAAAGTGCTGCAAAACTTCACTCTGTGCCACTAATGAATAAATCGTCAATGTAGAATACAAATATATTCCATTTACATAGACAGGTAATAGTTACTTTATTCCAACTAAATTACTATGTTTATCTATACTATGATAAATTTACCGAGATATACTTGATGATGTCGAAACATTTATGGCAGCTTTATTGTTCAGTGTTTAGCCTTACTTGAAGAATATGCAAATTATTTAACTATTGAGTTTATCCGTTGGCTTATTTGAATTTTAATGTTTTGTTTATAAGTGATAAAACTGTTAAAGGGGATAGTTTTTAAATAAATGACGGTGATCATGTTTGGTGTGCAAAAAAAGACTAGGTGATTCCGATGTTAAGTTGGGATTGCGTGATAACTGCGTACATGATTTAATTTTGGACCGTAACGGGTTCGTAGTGTAGCGTGGTGTCGAGTTGAGCTGAACTATGAACACCGCTACCAGACTACTTGCCAATAGACCAATAAAATCCCGGTAGGCCAAAATATCAGAAGGCAGATGGTTGTAGTAGTCGTATATATTTGTTGGCAATCTCGTGGTATCGAAAGAATACCGAGATCGTGCCAAAGGAGTACAGTTGCGAACGGCAAGATACGTGCGTAGTCCAAAAACCGCGTAAAAGCAACGGAATACAATGGAAGCCCAAAATGGCTGTTATTAGCACAGTTAAACAAACGAGCACAGTAAAACAGTCACTGGTACAATTGGTTATAATAATAATTGTTTTCATCGAACCAATCGTGTTCTGTTGACAAAAGTAGGTCACTACAGGAGCCCCCCGCTAGAAAGGGTTTACACTTTCGATAGTTAGCGGTTTGATTCGTGGGACTGATCGGCAGAATTGCGATTGTAGGACGGAGGAGATTGGCGGAACAGGAAGTGATCGTTGATCCTCGAGTTGCCAACGAAGGTCTTTTGCGCAGAACGGTACCAGAAGTGTGCTGTATTTGTTGGTCGAGTTAGCATACCACACCAGAGTGGTTTGTATCCAGGATCTGAAGATTGCGTTCGTAGGGATGTGGACCAGAAAACGCTGCAGACGTAGGACGAAACCACGTTGAGCCAAGAAACCGGAAGCGACCATAAAGACCAAGCGTATGCCAGGCGAATTCGAGACCAGATAATCGACTGAGTGCGTTGACTAGAGCGTGGGTGGCCAAACCAGCTTTCGCCAAAGTTGACTGAAGTCGACGTTATCAAATGGACGATGGTCGGAGGCGTGGGCTCAGGATACAGAAAAAAATAAAAAAAAGAAAAGTGTAGCATGCGTGTAGTATAGGAATAATCCTACACCGTATCCATTATTGACTGTGCGGTTAGTCGCGAAAGCGTACGGGTAATCGTACTCGGCGACCGGAACGTGAGACGGTAGT